TACCGATTTTACCGTCGAATGAATTGTTCTTTTCGTTATTTCTCCCCGCACTACCGCCCCCTCTTTCCCCCCCAAAAAAAAAATATAAAATTTTTTTTTTTATTTATATAATTTTTTTTTACCGTCGGTGTGTGTTCGCGTAAATATTTAACGAAAATTTTCGAAAAACTGACCGTTTCCCCGATTATATTTTCTCTTCCCCCCTTTCTCTCTATCCCTCTCTCCCCCACTTTAAACGCACGCACACGGCTCCCCGTAAATTTTAATAAACTCGGAAAAAATATTTTTCGCTTTTGTAATTACATAAATTATTTATTAACTTCAACAATAAAATATTTATCCCGTTGAAATTTTCTCCATCTCGTTTTTATCTCTCCCCGAATTTTTTTATTTTTTCATCTCTCCATAGAATCCCTCCTCTTTTCGTTTCCCCACACCTCAACCATCCTCTCCTCCCCCTCCTCCCCAAAAAAAAGAAAACAATGAAAAAAAAAAAGAATTTAAATACATGCAAATTAGACGTAACAAAAAAAATTTTTTTTTATAATAATAATAATAATAATAATTCAATCGGTTATTTATAATAAATTCGTTGGGAAACAAAAAACTGTTCATTTTAATTTTTATTTATTGTTATTGTTATTTTTGTTGTTGTTGTACTTATCGTCGTCAGTATTATTATTATTATTATTATTCCTACGTTTGTTCGCTTTAAAACAAAGACGGTGGACCGGAAAACAAAGGCGTGAACATGACGCGACTTCTAAAACCTTGTTTAAATTTATTAAATTATTTATTTTCGAAAAAAAAAAGTTATTAATTATTATTATTATTATTATTATTATTATTATTATTATTATTTTTAATTTCCTGTCAAAATTTTAATTTTTATTAATATTAATATTATTATTATTATTATTATTAATACACATACGTCGAGTTCATTCGTTAAAAACAAATTAAATTAAAACAAAAAATAAAAAAATAAATAAATTTGTTTTGTGTTTTGTTTTGCTACAATTTTTTTTTTGTTTTTGCTAAGAATCACAAGATTTATCGTTTCGAATAATAATAATAATTATTATTATTAAAAAAAAAAAAAAACGGCGTTCACACGCGGGAATTAATGTTAATTTAATTTAATTATGTAACAAAAAAAAAAACGGATAAAAATCTATTATTACCCTCGTACGTGTGTGTGCGCGTGTGTGTTATAGTTTATAGCACGGCAACAACGCGATAATAATAATAATAATAATAATAAGCTGTAATTTTATCGTTATTTGGATACGATGATGATGATGATAATAAGCATCGATAGTTTATAGCTGCGATAGGCTATAATAAAAAATAAATTTTTTTTCACACGAGAAAAAAAAAAAAGAAATTTTTTATCAACGAAAAAATCGACGCGTCAAATCCTCCTTAAAGTCCTTCAATTACAAGTCGATTGACTAATGACACGACAAAAAAAAAATTATTTTGACTTGAGCTTTATAGCTCGCATACATAACAATTTACGTTAATTTAATGTAATCGCACTATAACTATATTTTATTTAAATATTTATAGCGCATTTTTAAAATATTTCAATTACAATTTAATGATTCTTTCCGTCGTTCCAAAACCAAAATTAATTTTTTGTTTTAAATGTACTATAAAAATATAGAAGCTCTATTATTTGGATTTTAAATTCAAAAAAAAAAAAAAAACTTTCTCTTATTGCCACGATTTTTTTATAATTCCTAACAATCTACGCTCATATCAAAAAAAAAAAAACATACTATATTATTTTTATAGTCGTAAATATTTCCTTTTACAAACATCAATTTTGAATTGAACGTAAACAAAAATATTGAGATATTAAATTATTATCTGGCGGAGCAAACGTTATAGACTATAAAAAATATAGCCATTTTCCAAAAAAAAAGCCACGTTTAAAATGATAAAACATTAAAATAACTTTTTTTTTAACCTTCCGGTAAAATCTTGCTCCTCACCAAAAATCTAATAATCTTAATGCATTTAATGTTTTTCTTTAAAAAAATATAGACTATAATATAGAGTAAGAAAACATTATTATGTAGATATATAACACGTCGGAAATGTAACAAAATATATATTATTGTAAATAAAACAAAAAAAAAAGACTTTTTTGCAAAACAAACGTATCGATCAATATTATTATTATTATCATTATTCGATGCAAATTATAGCAAATTTTATAGCTTTATAGCTATAAAAATCAACAAAAATTTCAATGAGTTTGTGATTTGTAACATAAAACAAATTTTTTTTACTTTGGTTTAATGACGTCACGTTGGAAAAAAAAACAAAACAAATTGTAACTTTATATTAATTATAGCGCTATAAATTTTTATGTTAATAATAATTTTCTCTATAAAAAAAAATTTATATCGGAGTTATTATATGAAGTCAAATGATAATAATGATAATCACGCCACGTATGTAAAACATATAGCAAAATAATAATAATAATAATAATAATAATAATAATGAGTTACTTTTTTTTTTTGTTTATGTCGTGACCAAACGTGATCAAGTTTATTATTTCAACGCTTCTGCTTTTCTACGTCATCATCATCATCATTATCATCAACATTTTTATTAACAATAAATTTCGTTTTGACGTAGAGTTTATAATAAAAACAAAATTTTAAAGAAATCTTTTTTTTTGCTATAATTCAGCGAGAGGGGAAAGAGAGAAAGAGAGAGAGAGAGAGAGAGAGACGAAGGAGGAGATTCTTTGCTCTGATTTCGGGCGAAAGAGGGGCGGGTGGGGGGAATGAAAAATTTTAAAAGTCGACTCATTGCTCAATTATTATAAAAAAAAAAAAAACTCAAATTGCCATCATTAATATGTAATTTAAAAAAAAAAAAAGAAAATTTTTTTCGACATTCGTTACCATCGTAAATCAAAACCTTCGCGATAATTTAACAAAAAAAAAGCCTCCGCGATAATTATTATTTAAAAATAAATAAATAAATAATAATAATAATATTTAATCTAATTTTTTTATTTTTATTTTTAATTGTGTTTTAAATAATAATAATACTAATTATTATTATATTTTTTTTCTTTTAATAAAATGTGAAAAAATTTAAATTGTTTTTTTTTTTTTAACGTGCTTAACTCGTCTTAATTATTTCAATTTATAGCGCAACTATATTATTTATAGCAAAGTTTATTTTAAAAAATTCCAGTTTAATAATAATAATAATTATTATTATTATTATTATTATCATTAAAATTATTAAATTATCGTGTCTAAATACAAAATTTTTTTGTATTTTTTTCCTTAGTCTATAAATTATAGCTCTATAAAAAAAAACAAACATCAATTAACGATAATATAGCCGTTTATAAACTGTTCCCTTTTTTTATTTAAATAGTGAAAAAAAATAATAATAATAATATTTAAACAAACGGTAAAACAAAATGATAAATTTTTATTATTATTTTTTTTTTATTCACCGAAAATAATTTATAGTAGTCTATAAAACGTTTAATAGTCTCTATATTATAGTCATCTCATTAACGCTTTTAATTAATTAATGATGAGTAAATAAATTACGTTTTTTTTTTTTTTTTTTTTTTTTTTTTTTAAATTAAGGGAAAAATTACCGAAAAAAAAATAATAAAAATAAAATTTTCGACGGGACTTTAAAATTTATTAATGCAATAAATTTTATAGTTTATAGTTTAAACTATAAATAAATAAATATTTAACTACGAGAGAAAAACAAAAAAAAGGTCGCTATAAAAAAAAAGTAAAAATATTAAAAAAAAAAAAAAAAAACATTAATTTATTAATCAGCCCGAGGAGGCAACACACACACACACACACAACAACAGGTGGATACATTAGTCACTTTTGTCACTTTAGATAAATTTCCAGCTAAATGAGATTTTTCTGGAGAAAAAAAAAAAAAAATTTTCTTCTCAACTTTAATAATATTAATAATAATTGATGATTTCGCGCTATAAATTTTTTTTTAATAAAATTTAAATATTTGAAGATGCCGTGACGTCGTTTTCCTAACTTTTGTAGTACATTTTTATCAAATTAATTTAAATTATAGTCAATGAAACACTGTAATGCGAACCTATCGGCCTGAGAGGGAGGAAAGGAAGGGGAGAGGGAAGGAGAGTGGGAGGGATGTCTCGGGTAATTTTTTTTTTTTTTTTTAAACCGACTTAACGAGAGAGAATAAAAAAAAAATTTACGTTTGCGTCCGATGATGAATAGAAAAAAAAAAAAAAGGTTTTTTTCTCCAAAAAAAAAAAAAGTCGTTAAAAATTATTATGGAGAGAGAAAGAGAGAGAGAAAAAAAAGCCTTCGGCCTTTTTAAAGCCTTTTTTTCGTGACCCTTAAAAAAAAAAAATCGTGAATTTTATAGCGTCAAGAATTTTTTTTTCTTTTTTTTTTTTTTATTCTAATCGGTTTAAATTATCGAAATAAACATTATTATAGTTTATATTTAAATAAATTGAATATAGTTTATTTTATGTCCTTTTCCCACCACGTCTTTCTTCCTCTTTCTCTCTCTTTCTCTTTTTTTTCACTTTGATATATGACTGTATATATATAGTAATAAATAAAATTTTATAGCGTTACCACGAAAAGTAAATTTATTTTTATTTATTTTTATAATAATAATAATGATAATATTTATATCGTTATTTGAAATGGTTTTATAGAAGAAATCTTTTTTTTTTGTTGCCACAAACACAAAATTTTTAAATTAATCACTTATAGTAGTTCTTTTACTCTATATATATATTTATAGATTTGCTATATTTATTTACACAATTTTATTTATACATTTATTTAAAAATGTTCGTACGAATAATTAAACGAATTGTTATTACCGTTAAGAAAAAAAAAAAACATTTTTAGGGGGGAGTTATTAGAGAATTATATAAGACTAGAAATTCCAAAATGGGGTTCGGTCACGTACCTGCGTAAAAATATCCGCTACGCCCACAGGGGTTGCGGTAATCTACAATTTTGCTGTTGGTTAGCAGCATTTTGAAGGTTGTTTTGGTGATGTATCAAAGGAGGCGGCAAAAGTTTACCCGAGGGCCTCTGACCGGACGACGATCGATGATCGTAAGAATTGGGCGTCGATGCCGTAGAATATAAATTAACGTTAACGTGGGGTCTTACGTGTCTAGAAGACGTACAATTGTTTCTCCTCGCGTCCGGCATGGCAAATTTGAGCTTCTGCCAGAACAGCCTATCCCCCCATTCTATGCATGTATTCGTTTTGAGGTACAACCTCAAATCCGGATCCAAATCTCTTTGGGGTACTTCACCTAACGTAATCACAATTAACCGTCTTCTTCTATCTTTCAACACTTCGTGCAACGCGGATTTAAATTCGAATCGACACCACTCCGAGTGAAGGAAATTTTTCGATAAAATAACAATGGTTCTCTTTGACGATTCGACCGCTTCTATTATCGTGTCGGCTATGTACGCGGTCACGTTAAAATCCCGATAGTGGAGGCACAGCCTGTACCTGGGATCCGTTTGCTCTAAACCCGGAGCCAAAACTTGATTCACGAAACTTTCATCTTTCACACTGTAACTGACATATGCGTCGAACAAACGATCCCGATCTTGTTCTTCTTCGAAGGCGGTTGTTTTATAGCACATTCTCAAACCACATTTAGAATATATCCACACTCTCAATTCTCTTCTAAAATAAAACACACTGCACACGATCGTTATTGAAACTAAAAATGTACAAAGGGTCGCGAGGAGCAATGGAAGATAATCGTGTATGACGGGATTTTCTATGACGGCTCTGCTGTCTCCCGTGTAAGCAGAACACGTGGTCGAATTAAAATCCGCCACCGGAGGACCTAATAAGTTAGTCACATTATTAAATATGCATATTATTTTATTCGCGTCTACGACTTTGGCGTAATTTGGTTGGAGCCAATTTCTAAACTGTTGCAAATATTGGCAATTACACGACCACTGATTATCGGATAATGCTATTTCTACGAGATAGGGATTATACGTGAAATCCCATACCTGAAAAGTCCTCAATTTGTTACTATCTAAACGAATAACTTGAACTTGTTTTAATTCGGAAAATGTTCTATTGTTTATATAATGTATTTCGTTACCTTGTAAGTAAAGCTCTTTTAAATTTTCTAAACTGGTAAATTCGAAACCGGAAAGTTCTTTGATGGCATTGTTTTCCAAATGGAGAACTGCCAACCTTTTCAATCCGCTGAAAGTGTGATTGTATATTGCGGCTATGTTTGAATTATTCGCGTATAAAACCCTAAGATTTTTCCTACCGATGAAAGCGTGACTCGAGAGTTCTACCAAATTGTTACCGTCTATGTAAACCTCGGTCGCATCCATCGGAATCCTATCCGGCATGTTTGTGTATCCGGCAGCGGAACATTCGACGATGTTGGACGACCACGATTGATCGTGATAGCACGTGCAATTCGAAGGACACGTCATCTTGCAATCGCACGCATCGAAATCGCAACAGTGGCAGAGAGTGAAACAGTGAAATTTATAGGGGCATAAAAATTGGGATGATTCCACGTCGACGAGGGACACGTACATTTTATCACGGTTATATAAAAGCTTGCAGTAAATTCCCTCTAAATCCATGACTCTCGGATGTTGCCTCAGATGATCCAAATTATTAATTCTTTGCAACCATTCCATGGTGCAATCGCATTGAAAGGGATTTCCTCCGACATAAAATTCAGGAAGCGCACGTTCCGGATCGACCGGCGTCAGTCTCAAAGCGTTCAATTCCATGCTGACTATTTGATTAGCATAAAGATCGACTCGAGTCAAATTTACTTTTTTCAAAAACGTGTGAGGTTCAACGTGTTTAATTAAATTGTCGTTTAAAAACAATAATTCAACGCTGTTAGGTATCGATGCGGCCGTTATTGTCGTCAATTTATTAAAACTCGCGTCGAGCGTTTGTATTTTGAGCTTTCCATCGACTGAATAATGATTTCCCAATTCTTTTATGAAATTTTTATGCAAATCCAACCATTGTAATGTTCTCGGCACCAGAGAATAATCGAAACTTTCCAATTTGTTATCCGATATGTTCAACCACAGAAGATTTTGTATTCCGACGAAAAGATCGTCAATGTCGGTTAAAAGATTCGCATCGAGACGTATGGCTTGCAAGTGTAAATTATCGTTGAACGCTCCTTTTTCGACTCTTTTTATTTTATTACGAGCCAAGTTGAGAATTTGAAGCTCGGGTAAATTCGAAAATGATTTCTTCGTTATGTTAGTCAATTGATTTCCGATCAGTCTTAATCCGTACAAATTATTCATTCCGGCAAAACCGGGTTCGACGATGTTACTAATGGAATTTTCTCCCAGGTCGACGGTGCGGAGGAGTCTCATGTTTTGAAGTGCCGCCGGAACGGCCGTCAATCCGTTTCCGTTTAAATTTAAATCTTGTAAACTGCTTAGATTTCTAAAAGCGTCCACGTGTATGTTTTCAATGAGATTGTTGTCCAAAGAAAGTAAACTCAATACGTATAGATTGTTTAGGGAAAACGCGTCGAGAGAACGTATTTTATTGTAGGAAAGTATCAGAGTGTGGAGATTTTTCATTGGGGCAAAAGTGCCCAGGGGAAGGGTTTCGATTAAATTGTGTTCCAAGTTCAATATTTGCAAAGTGTATAAATCGTTAAACAAATAAGGATCGAGTTTTGAAATGTTGTTGTATCCGAGATTGAGCAAAACGAGTCGGATAAGGCCGGAAAAGGTGAGCGGAGTTATCCAAACGCTTGTTAAATGATTTTTCGACAAATCCAACGCCAAAAGATGTTTCAAATTTGAAAATAAACCGGATGCCAAAATGCTAATTGAATTATTTTGTAAATAAATTTCTTTGATTCCTTCTGCGGCATCTTGAAAAAGCTCCGGTGGGAGAGCGACTATTTTATTATTCGATAAATCTAATATTTCTAAATTTTTCAAACCCGCCAAAGCTTTTTCCGCGACCATTGTTATCTCGTTATCGTGTATGTAAAGTTCTTTTAAACGACGCAAAGCACTGAAACCGCTGCTCGGTATTAAAACGAAATGATTCCAAGACACGTCCAAAACTTGAATATCCAAAGTGCAGGGAGCTATGCCTCCGGTGGGTACGGAATCCCCATCGTTAATATCGTCCCGAGAACTTATCAGACTTTGAGGGGGTGGCGGTTTTTCTCTAAAACCCAAATCTCCGACGTCTTGCAAACGATTTTGACTCACGTTCAAGGTAACTAAATTGGTCAGGGGGCAAAATATGCTTTCGGGAAACGACCAAATGTTGTTGAAACTCAAATCGAGACGTTCCAATTGTCGGACGGTAAGAAAACTTTCCGGCGATATTTCCATGCTTAATTCCGGCCAATCCGTGTTGTGAGTTCTCACGGATAAATTTCTCAAATCTCCCAAACCTATGAGAGTTCCCGATGGCCATTTGGCCAATTTGCAATGATCTAAAACGAGTTCGCGTAATTTCGTTAAATGTGCGAAACTTCGATCGTCCAAAGAACTCTTTGAAAATAATTCCATGTTGCACTGTATTCTCAACGATGTCGTGTGCTCGGATGGTATGACGCTAAAATTCGTGCTTTCGAATTCGCTGTTGATCGTTTGCAGACGACATATGAGCGCAACTTCGTCAGGACCCTCTCGTATCCACCATTGACAATCGTCTGGAGCTTCGTAGCGTAAAATCGGCGGAGATTGAGAATTCGCCGATTGTACTTGCTCTGAAGCACATTGTATTCCGCAAATAAAACAAAAAATTAAAAAAATCATCATTTTCGATGATGATAATGATGATGATGATTCTTTTTCGACCATTTTAAAATTTTATCAATCATTGTTTGTTTTATTTTTTATTTTTTTATTTTTTTTGAGCGGGAGACTTTTTTTTGTTTGTTTGTTTGTTTGTTCGTTTCAGAAAATGACTGAAACCCCAAACAGAGTCATTTTAAATAAATAAACAAATTCAAATCTCATTTATCCCAAAAACAAAAAATTATCAGAAATTAAAAATACAAAAATAATTCACAAAAAAAACATTTCGCACGATTAAAAAAAAAAAACTAATTAATTTTTTTAAAATAAGTAAATAATAGAAATATTAATATTAATAATAATAATAATGAAAACAAAAAAAAACCGATCAATTCCAAAATAACAACCGATTATACGAATCCGACGACAAACGGTATCGTTACAAACAACTTCATCTCGACACGGACAGACCGCGACTGAACTCTGGATAATGAAATTGAACGCTTTACAAAGTCCCCAACCAAGCTAAGTAAGTAAAAAGAGAAAAAGAACAAAAAAAAACAGAGAGAGAGAGAGAGAGAGAGGAGGTAATAACGTGATAGAAGAGTAAAGAAATAAAGTCGGAAACGTACGAACAAAACCGAAAACAAACGAGATTGCGCGATTTCATTTAGTTTCATTCCAAAAAAAAAAAAAATCAACCCTCCAAAACTTCATGGATTTCTCCAAAATAAAAAAAAACTTTTTTAGCCCTTTTATTAAATTTTTTTTTTTTTATATTTAAAACAGCGGGTTATCTAAAAAAAATGTATTGATATGATGAATTTTTTTTTTTGGAATTAAATCAACCACCTGGAATTTTGGAGAGAAAAAAAAACTAAACGAAAAAAATATATATATATATACACATATATATACGTCCGTAGTAATTTTTTTTTTCTTCCCTTAAGAGAAAAACTCATTATTATTATTATTATTATTATTTTACCTATTTTAATGATAATTTATATCGCTATAAATTTATAGCGTTTAACTATTTTTTTTGGTAACTTTATAAAGGTCAATCACATGAATGGTCAAGGTCAAAATTTTATTTAATCTTATTAATGAATTTTTTTTTACTTCCCACGAACAAAAAAAAAAAATTCAAAATTCAATGATCTCGTTTTAACTATACGTAATCCTCTTTTTCTATTTTTTCTTTTTTTCTTCTGCTTTCGATTCTTTAAATAATAATAATGATAATAATAATAATAATACTCATTAATTATAAATGATGTGAAATTTATTAAATTAATCGATTGATAACTTCTTTTTTTTTCTTTTCGCGAACGAATTTTTAAAAAAAAAACCTCCATCGAAAATAATATTTATTAACCGGATTTAAATTTTTTACGGAGGGAATGGGGAAGGGGGAGGAGGAAGAAGGGGGTTGGAATTGCCTGGAAAAGAAATTTGGAATAAATTCGGTAAATAAGGTATATTTTGTGTGGGGTCCATTAAATCTTTATAAAAAAAAAATTTTTCTTTATTTATTTTTATTGAAGTTATTTATTATTATTATTATTATTATTATTATTATTATTATTATTATTATTATTATTATTATTATTATTATTATTATTATTATTATTGCTATTTAAAATAAATTAATTATTTGCGGATAAACAATTTAAAATTATTTATTTATTAGTTTAAATTATTTCGGGGGGGGGGGATGATGTCAATCAATAAAAAATTATTATTATTACTATTATTACTGAATTTCCTCCTTTTTAGTACTTAAATTTTTGGTGTAATTGGTTCTCCATGTTAATAATTATTTAAATTTTGGAGAAAAAAAAAATTCCAGGCGGACGCATGAAAATTCGCAAAAAAAAATTTCGGGGGGAGGAGCGATAGGAGGAAGGGGGATGGGAGAAGTGGGAGCCGGCGAAAATTTTCAATGTTTTGCACTCATTCAGCTCGCTAAAAATTTTAATGAAAATTAGTTTTATTAAATGGCCAATTGTTCAATAAGTTAAACATAAGCGACATTGGTTTTTTCCCACCTTTCCTCGTCAGAAAATTTTAGTTTTTTTTTCAACGGATTTGCTTTTCTTAAGTAAATCGGTCCAGCGTTATCAGGAAAATTGATAATAAATCATTAATCATCTCGTTTTTCCGGTAATTTTTAAATCGTAAATTCAAAACTCAAAAAAAATAAAAACTCTTACGATAAATTTTTTTTTTTTTATTCAAAAGGCGTTAAAACAAAAAAATGTAGAAGACGATGCAAAAAAAAAAAGAAAATTTGCCCCCGTGATTTGTTCTTTTGTTTTCTTCCGCCCCGACTATTATTTTTCCTTCATCTTTTTTTTTTTATGCGTATGTACACCACGAATTATGTAACCAACTTTTATTTTCTTTTTTTTTTTTTTTTTCAAAAAAAAAAGAAAAAGTTGTAAAAATAAAGTTTAACCGTAAATTTTCTTTCGAGATTGGTTTTTTTTTTTTTTTTTAGGCGTGGACTCTTAATTAAGTAGTTTACAATTTTCCCTCCCTTTTTATTATAACGGTCCAAAAGATAGAAAATAACAAAGTTTTTGGAACGTTGATATTACGTTAAGTTTTGATTAAACATTTTCCATATGGGGAGGAAGAGGAAGAGGAGAAAGGGGAGATTAGTCACGGACAGAAATCAACGGAGGGGTGGGATAATAGTAAAACTACCAAGAGTAGAATTACCATTATAACGTCTATCATTCTCATCGGTTCGCACACACACACAAATGCATGACTCAGTTTTCCTAACCGACTTTTTTTTTTTTTTCCTATTTCTAATTGTTTCTTCTTATTTTCTGGTTTATTACGTTTAACGGACAGGTCACGCGACGAGGGTTGTAAAAAAAAAAAAAGCGCGACAAAGAGAAAATTAAAATTCAAAGGGTGGGGGGGGTAATTCGAACGAAACGCATGTTTGCATTTGGGATTTGACACATTTGATCCAGTCGATTTTTAACTCGGTCGTTTTTTTTTTTTTGTACATTTATATATGTTTTTCTTTTTGTCACCACCGTCACCACCGCCATCAACACCATCATCATCAGTTTCGACGTCCGTCACTCTTATAATTAATAATAATTGGGGTGCGATATTACAAAAAAAAAAAAGATTATTTAAACATTTAATTTCGAATTATATTAATCCCTTTAATTTATTTTTACTCCTTTTTTTATGTTGTAAATTTATTTAAAAATAAGTCTATAACTTTATAGCGCAACACGCACACACACACATACACACACATATATGTATATTAAAAAAAAAAAAAAACAAAGGAAAAATTTACTTTTAACCTTTGCTACGGTTCAAAGTTTGAATGATTAACAATCGTGATGCCAACTTTCACGCTAATATAATTTTATCGTTTTAAATTTTCAACTTCAAAAAGAATAAATTATTTAACGTTGGGAAAAAAAATCCGTTTGTTTTCCTACGTTTGTATTATTATACGAATGTATGTGTGCACACACACACACACACACACACACACACGCAAAACAATTTAAAAGGCGATCAACCGATAAAAACAAAAAAAGTTGAAAAAAAAAAAAAAATTCTTTCTTTTCACGGTTAATTGATATCAAATAAAATTTTCGACAGTTACAAAACTTTTTTTTTTGTTGCAAAATTAACGTCACGCGGTCGCGGTCGCGGTCTCTTTTTTTCGCAAAAAAAAAAGGAATAAAAAAAAAGGAAAAAAAGGAAAGGAAAAAAAAAATTAAAAAAATTTAATTGAGGATTTTTGTGTGTGAGCTCTCATTGTCTAAACAAGGAAACTGTTATTAAAAATTCATCACGAAATGTTGCCTGCTTGTTAAAAATATGACTTGAGAGAACCCGAGGCCAGTTTATTATAAACCAGACTACGTGCGCCACGACAGAAATAAAATCGTTTTCAAAAAAAAAAAAAAAAAAAAAAAAAATTACTTTTTTATTATTCGAACAACAACAACAAAATATACAAAATTACTTTTTTTTTTTTTCGAACGAACCACTTCGACGTATGTCCATGTTGTATAAGGTTTAGACTCGGTGGTCGGTCAACGACGCCATTTTCCAAACACTTTGATCAACACTCTCTCTCTCTCTCTCTCTAATTCTCATCATCTTTTCGTGTTGTTGTATACAAACATATACCTGAATAGTTTTAGCTTTTTTTTTTTGTGATAATGAATACTTTAAAAAATATAACCTTAAAATTAACATTCAAATGATTTTGTTTCCACCGCGAATCATGTCCGTTCGTAAAATGTTTTCTCATCAAATAAACCATCTTATGACTGACTGACTGACCTTTGCCTTATATTTTTTTTTTAATAAAAAGGAAAAAAAAAAACCTTTCTGTCGATGTTGTTGTTGTTGTTCCTACTTTTTTGTTGTTTGTTGGTGATTAGCAGGATGTTTAATAATGACACGCATTATATGCGGTTTAATGTTATACTAAAAAAACTTAACACAAAACGGTACGCTGCGAAAAATGTTTTTTTAAACGCCAGAAGCGTTTAAAAATAATAATAAGAAGGTGTTAAACATTATATTTAATGATTATAAATGCTTTTACTTAAGTTAAAAATGTGGGAAAAAAAAATAAAAAATTCTAAACAATTTTTATTCAGACTGTGTGCGTGTGTGCGTGTATGAGTGCGTGTGTATGTAACCTTTCGATTGAACCTTAACTTTGTCGTCCATCCACCTTTGCTTTTTTTTTTGTAGTAAAAGGTTTCTATTAGGAAAAAAAATTAATGACGTCATAGCATATTATTGAAAGAGGAAAAATGGAGTTTTTTTTTAATACCGATACTTTTAATATTATTATTATTTTTTCTTTTACGAACTGAAAATATAGTTCAATTATTTTTATAGACTTTTTTATAGACTACGACTTACTATAAACGAATAATAAACATTTAATAAAAATATTTAAACTTGAAAAAAAAAAATTTCTTTTTATTTTTTTGGCAGATTGTTCTAAAATAATTTTTTATAGCAATTCAATCTATAATTTGAAAAAAAATACC